CCACTATACCATCTGCTAGCCCCACTTTTGTTTTTAATGATCGTGTTTGTGTGCACATGTGAGAGAGAGACAGGAGAGAGAAAGAAGCTTCCTGATGGGTTCTTATCACACCATGATTCCTTTTCCTCAGTCCTCCAGCTCCTCAGACTCTTGGCCGTCCATGTGCATGCTTTGTGTGCTGTAGGCCAGCCTAGGGATCTCAACCTGCAGCTGGCCCTGTGGCTTCCAGCACTGCAGTCCTGTATGCTATAGGCCGTGCCAGCAGGCTGGGCTCCTTCTGTTCTACTGTCTAGTTGATGCCTGCTCACCTTCTAGCACCTAGGCTATGTCAGGTATAGGTTTTCAGGTTACCTACCTGCTGCCGAAAAGCTTGAAGTTTACCCTGGTATGATTTTTTTATTATAAAGCCTGTATTTTATTCCTCCAGAGCCCCACTTCCCACATGAAGGACCAGCATCTTGTTGTCCTTTTAATTAATGCTGATTGAATTAAACACAAGCTACCAAGTCAACTCCAGGGTCTGCCCTTACAGACTTCACATTCCACTGAGGCAGAGAGATATATCCCCAGATAGTGACAGCCCACAGTGGGCAGAGGTGGGATGGAGAAAGCTCAGCGAACAAGTGGAGACCCAGAGAAGATAGCTTATTTAGCTTTGGAGAGAGAATCAGGGAGGGCTTCCTGGATTAGAAGTCATTTGAGGTGAGACCTAATGAATTAATAGGAGTAAGCCAAGAAAGATGACTGGGTTAATGTGTTCCAAATAGAGGGACTTAAGAGACTGGCAAGTGGTATGGTGGATAAAGGTGCTGGACTCCCACGTGGCCAACCCTGGTTCGAGTCCCGGATCTGATGGCTTGCTTTCTCACTTTTCCTTTCTCTCTCTCTCTCTTTCTGTCTGGTCAAATTAAAAAATAATACTGACAAATGGAATTAAATAAATAAATATTTTTTTTTAAATGCAAGGACTTGGATTGCCAAGGCCTGGAGGTAAGGGACAGTCTAGCACATTTGGGTAGCTGTAGTGTGTTCACTGTGGCTGGAACATAAAGCGCTAAGGGAAAGGTGAGCAGTGAAACCAGAGACGTGGCCAGGCCAGGTCACATGCCAGTCTGGGGAACTTGGACTGTCCAGAGGGCATTGGGGAGTCATAGAGGAATCCAAGCAGGGAGAGTGGTCACATTGAGTCTGTGATTTGGAATGAATTTCCATGTTATATTAGGGTTGGATTCAGGGTAGTGAGACTAGGGGCTGGCATCCCAAGGGGAGTTTATGCTGCACTAGGGCAGGGCCATGGGAATCAGGAGGGAGGAAGTGGGAGAGATCTGCAAGAGGCCACATGGACAGGCCTCAGAGTTGGAGGGTTGTCAGTGAAGGAGGTGAAAGATGAGGTCCAGAGCTCTGGCAGCAGATGGGGTCTTGGGGGCTATCCCTGAAATGGCCCAGGAAAAGGAGCAGTGTGAGGGTATGAAGCTGAGGTCATGAAGGGCTATAAAGTCAGATGTTTGAGAAACTCTTCTCTAACTAAGCTTCATCTTCGTGCTTCCCTGGCTGATCTGTCACCTATCCCAGCCACCGTGTCCCCACATGCCACAACCCCAGGTCTCAGAACCAGGTCTAGCCTTGGTCTCTTCTGCCCCAGTGTCACCTTGATTTCTCAGAATGAGTCCTGAGCCTGTGATCCCTAGAGTGTGGGCCTTGGTCTGTTAGGAGCAGGACGGACTGACCAGGCTGTCCCTACCCCCTCCCCAGGGCGGCATGTGCTCTGTGTACCTGAAGGACAGTGAGAAGGTTGTCAGCATTTCTAGTGAGCATCTGGAGCCCATCACCCCCACCAAGAATAACAAGGTAAGGGGAGGAGCAAAGGGGGAAGGGTTGTGGGCCTGCTGGCCTGGTACCCTGACTCCATGGCCCCCACCCCAGGTGAAGGTGATCTTGGGTGAGGACCGGGAAGCCACGGGTGTCCTGCTGAGCATTGATGGTGAGGATGGCATCGTCCGCATGGACCTGGATGAGCAGCTCAAGATCCTCAACCTCCGCTTCCTGGGGAAGCTTCTGGAAGCCTGAGGCAGGCAGAGTGGTTGGGCCTGGGCAGATCGGCTGGCAGTTGAAGAGCCTCTTTCCTTCCCTGGCTCTGGACCGTGACATGGGACTCTGGGTCTGGAGCAGGGTTGAGCTCATTGTTCTGGATCCCCTTTATTTTCCTCTCTGGGTTTCCATCTTCTCCCTCCCTGATGCTTACGGGAATGAGTCTGGAAGGGTCCCCACCTTCTTGTACCCACTTCCCTCATCTTTTTCAATAAAAAACAGCTGTTTAGTCAAAAGTCATGCGTGTGTGTGTGTGTATGGGGGGTGGGGGGAGGGATCTCCTTTGTAAGCCAGGTAATTTGCAGACTCTACATACTTCCTTAGTGTGTGATTTTGGGCAAATCACTGAGTACTACCTAACCCTAAGTTTCCCCAACTAGAAAATAACGCTGGTTCCTACCAAAAGGGCTCTCGAGAGGAATGTGTCAGAAGACATCAGGAAAAGATTCTTAGAACAGAGCTTGCCGTGTGATTGGTGGAGCTTGCCGTGTGATTGGTGAAGTTACATCTTAAGCAAGCATGAATTGTGCTAAGTGAAAATCAGTCAGTATCCCCCAGAAACAACTTCAAACCTAACTTTCTCCTATGGTGCAGGATATCGTGCTTACTGGTCCTTTTTCTTGAGCCCCGGTAGCAGTGACACCAGAATTGCCATCGTGGTTGAGAGTGGGAGCAGCATAGAGTAGGGCTCAGTTTTTTTTGTGTGTTTGTTTTGTTTTGTTTTAAGGAGGGGAGCAGTTTCAAATTGGCTACTCTCCACAACCAGAGAGACAGACAGGAGGGGGGAAAGCACCCTGCAGCAGGGGATGGTCATGCTACAATCCCTTCTTCCCTTCTCCATGTAGTCAGTATTTGGGGCACTTGTGCACATGTGCATGGAGTGTTTCTCAAGCCACAGGGGCCAGGATTTGAACCACTTGGTTGGCCATGTGAGATCCAGCTCCCTTAACCACCTTGGGACCACTTGGTTGGCCATGTGAGATCCAGCTCCCTTAACCTCCATGGGACTGGCCCAAGGAGGGGTTTAATACTTTGAACCTCTTTCCCGTTCTCATTTCATGTTCACATCCCTTTCTCATTTCATGTTCACATATCTTTTTACAAATGTAAATATCCTGTAAAATATTTCAGATAGACAAGAAGGTAACATTCTGAACACCCAGGTACCCACCATCCAGTCTAAGAGACTATGTATCAGACAATTGAGCCCCATTTCAGCAGCATTCCAAACCAGGCCTCTCCAGAAATAACCACAACCCTCAATTCCATATCTTTTCTCCTCATCTTTGTATTTCTACTGCCTTAGCGTTTATGTGTTTTTTAAAGAATTATTTTATTGAACTTTATTTTATTTATGTATTTATTTATTTTAATACCAGAGAGGGGCAGGGGGAGAGAGAGAGAAAGTGAGAAAGCAAGCCACCAGGCCCAGGACTCAAATCATGGTTGGCCATGTGGGAGTCCAGTACCTTTAGCCACCACGCCACTGCTGGCCCCATGTGTTTGTTTTTAAAAAGAATTATTTAATTTTTGTAAAGTTTTATTCATTGTCATTATTTCATTTTACTGAAGTTGACCAAAGAGAGACAGAGAGAAGGAAAGTGAGAAAGCAAACTGCGAGGTCCAGGACCCAACCCACGGTCAGCCATGTGGGAGTCCAGCCACCCTAACCACCACGCCACCTGCTGGGCCCCAGAATTATTTAATTTATCATTTATTATAATTTGCTACAGGGCATATGTGCTCAGCAGAGAGAGAGAAAGAGATTGAGAAAGCAAGCCCAGGTCTGGGACTCGAACCCCAGCCAGCCATATTGGGAGTACAACACCTTAAGCACCAAACCACATGTTGGCCCCTAGTGTTTATGTTTTTAAAGTTCATATAAATGTTTTAGACTTTTTTTCCCATTCAAAATAATATTTTCTTCCATGAGAGACAGATTGATACTAGCACCCCAACAGCCAGGAAAGATCATGGACCCCCATAACCCTGCATGTACAGGTAGCCCTAAGAACCGAATCTATGATTGTCCATGTGGATCCAGCATCTCCCCTGCCCCTTTTAATTCATGATAAGTGTGTGCACAAGAGGAAAACAAGCACTCTCTGTAAGATCAGGTCACATTATCCCCTTCCTCCAGCCTGTCAGATCTTGCACACTTGCTCATGTACCCAACTTGTTTCAGGGGGACCCAGCCAGGGATTTGAACAACTGTCACTATGTGGGACCCAGCTTCCCTTGAGCAACATTACCTCTGGACCACTGAGCTGGCTTTAACTCCGAATACCTCCAGGGTCATTCCCAGGGCTACCTGTAGCCCCCAAATTAATTGATTTCTGCCTCGGTTTTAATAAGCCCCAGCCAGCTGACAATCAGCCCCAGATGAAATTGGGTGGCTTTTCAGAACCTTTATAGAAACTCATGGTTAGGAGGAAACAGGAGAGGCAAATTCCGCCTCCCGGCCCCACGTGAGGAGGACAGTTTGAGAGCTGGCTTTTCAGCAGGCTTTCTAGGCCTTTTTCCACTTATGTCAATCAGGAGGTGACAGCAGACACCCTTCAGAGGGCCGGCCCAGCTATCTACCTGACCTGTGATTATTTGCTTTTTGGACAAATCAGGCAGCCATCGAGTTTCTTCATTATGGCCTAGCTTTACTTCTGTGCAAGGGGTGTGATTCCTGTCTCCGCTATGTCCAGTCGCTCCCTATGTCCTGTCTCCCTATGTCCAGTCGAGAGGGGCGTGGTTGTAGGTGACCGTATCCCGACTAACGTGAGCTTGGTTCACAGATGACCGCGCCTGCAGCAATCCACCCGAAGCCTTTTGACTCTCTCCGCTCTCCGTCCGCACACGCCCCCTCTGCGTCCGTATTGGCTGCGGCTCGCTCTGGGGGCGGGTAAAGAGCGAGTGGGTGGGCGGGGCCGCGTGGCGTCAGCGCAAGATGGCGGCCTCGGCGGTGCTGTTCTCGCGCTTGCGGAGCGGGCTTCGACTCGGCGCGCGGGGGCTGTGCACGAGGCTGGCGACACCGCCCCCCCGGGCCCCAGACCAAGTAAGCAGAACTGGGGTGGTACTCTTGATGTGGGGACCCCTTCTTGGGGTTTCGGAAATAGCGCCGCCGCCAGTGGGTCCTGGGACGCTGCACCTCAGGGTGCTGAATGAAACGCCGCTGGCACTTGAGGCTTCCCTGCCTTCCTAAGTGGACTACTCTTGCTTCCCCGGCCTGGATGCTGGGGGCCCATGTGCGTCCTCTGGGTCCACTTCCAAGTGGGTGCCGGGGAGGAGGTCACCTGTGCTCTGTCTTAGTGATTACTCCGGTGGTACTTGAGCGGGAGGGGCCGGGGACGTTAGGTCCCCAGGCTGGCTGGCCTCGAGGTGGGGGTATTTCCTCCGCGTGGTGGGTGGTGTGAGGTAGACGTCCAGACTTCCTATTCGACCTTTCTCCATGTTAACAGAAACCCAGCCATTCTGACCTCCAGGGCCATCAGTTCCGTGCCCTATACCTCCAGACAAGTGATTGTCCCTACCTGGCCCCGCCCGACCCCTTTCCCTCTATACCCTGCCACCTTGTGCCCCAGGCATCCGGAGGTCTTCACTGTCTGTCCCGTGTGCTTCTGTCCCCTTGCTTCAGACATCCGATGTTTAGGCTCCCCAGCCCATTATTTTCCCTGCCCTGTTTTTCTGGGCTCCAAAACCTTCAACTCTTTTGCCTCCAGGATTCTGGGCATCTGGACCCTCTGGATCCTCCTGCCAGATAAGATATTCCAGTTTTGACCCCCTAAGACGTCCAATGTCTCAGCTGCTCCTCCAACACCTGGGACTTAAGTGGGTGTCTGCTTCCTGGCTCCCGACCTTGACTCTACTTGGGCCAGAGCAGCTGATCCATCCTGACATTCTCTCTCTTTTCTCTGGCTGATCTTCCTCCACTGCCCCCCTCAACAGCAGGCTGCAGAGATCGGGAGCCGCGGGAGTGCTAAGGCCCAGGGATCACAGCAGCAGCCAGGCTCGGAGGGCCCCAGCTACGCCAAAAAGGTTGCACTCTGGCTTGCTGGGCTGCTTGGGGCCGGTGGGACCGTGAGCATCATCTATATCTTTGGTGAGGAACATACCCCTGTTCCCCAGTTATATTCAGTTGGCTTTCTGAATTCCTCTGTGGAATCTCTCCCTCTTTCCTCCTAAAGGCTTTTGTCATCTGTATTTCGTCACTTCTCCCTCAATAAGGCAACTTATTCCCCTACCTTGGAAAGTGGGGAAGTATCCTTTCTTCTCCCTTCTATCCCTTCTGCTCAAAATTCTGATCTTTTATCATAGTTGATTTCCCTATTAGGTTACAGTGAGCCAATTAGAAGTGGGAGAGGAGAAGGATAGGCCTAAACTAAGCTCTGTCTTCTCTCAGCACCCACAAGCCCAGCAATTTCCTTGTTTGCTTCAATTCTGAGAACAGGAGACCCGACCACAGTCCTTTTTCCATTAGAGATCCCAGAGTCCTGGCCTCTAAGCCCCCTTCTCCCTTGAATCCAGGACTGCATGTCTTAGCCCACTTCCCTCAAACCCAGGAGTCCAGGCCCCCTTGCCCCACTCCCCCTTCAAGATTCAAGAAACCAGCCCCAGTTCTTTTCATTTTTCCCTGTCTTCCTTGCAGGAAACAACCCTGTGGATGAAACCGGTGCTAAGGTGAGGGGGAAAGAGACCCAGAAACCTTTCTGAGACTCTCGTCCAGTGGGTATGAGGGTGGGTCCCCTTTGGTCTCTTGCGTCTCATTTCTGGCCTAGAGTGAGCCTCTCCTTCCAGAGGTCTTGGCCTACTCTTCTCAGAGCCTCAGAGATTCCTTTTCTGGGAATTATGGGGTTCTGCCTCTATCACTCTAAACCTTTTTTCTTTCTACCTCCCAGATTCCTGATGAGTTCGACAATGGTGAGTAAACAGTCACAGATTCTGGGGTTCCTTGATCCTCTGAACTGCTATTTATTGGGATGTCATCCTCTCCTCTCCATCTGGTGTCCCTGCCTCCCCACACCCTTCCTACTTCCATTGGTGGGTAGGGGAGCCAGCAGCTAGATGACTTTGCAGGGAGGGGCATTATAAAGCCTCAGCCCTTTTTCTTGGCCCCTTAGCCCAGGAGCAGATGGTCAGGGGCAGGTGGGGGAGGGGAGCCTGAGATGGGCTTGGGAGACAGGACAGCCCATCACCAGACCTATGGCTTCCTGTGCCTTAGATGTGAGCATCTGCCTCGTTTTTGATACCCTCCCTCACCCAACCTCTACTTCTTCCTGCTCTTCATTTTCAAAACAATGCCTCCTCTTCCATCCTCCTTCTGGATCAGGCTTTTGGTGGAGAGTTTCTGCCCAATTGGATAGTTGAAAGTAGTTGTCACACATCTGGTCCTTCCCAAGAGAAGGGGTCCAGAAACCCACCTGTGTGTACTGGGGAATTTAATACATTATTTTAAACGGGGCAAATGGGTAAGTTTGTACTAACAGCAGGTACAGAATTGTAATGGGTTAAATAAGTTAGTATACTGTTTTATTTTGTTTGTTTTTAAGATTTTGCTATAGAGTGTTCGTGTTTGCTAGAGAGACAGAAAGAGGAAAAATGATAAATCACCCCCAGGAGGGATGGCCACACCACAATCCCTTCTTCTTTGTTCTTCTCTTGGGATTTTGGGCACACATGCACATGTACCTGTTGTGATTTTCAGGTCTCTGGGTCTAGGACTTGAACCATGGTCAATCCTGTGGGAGTCCAGTGTCTTAACCATCACACCACCTTTAAACCAGGCAGGTTAACATGCACAGTTAAAGTCTATATGTTTTCAAGTTGGCAGCTTGAATATCATGCCCAGTACATGTGCACGCATACCCCAAAAATCAGAAGAGGAGAATGGAGAAGGGATTGCAGTGTGGCCATCCCCCAGGGTGTTTTCTCCTTTTCTCTCTCTGACTTCCTCTCTGGGGAGTGCACATGCCCTATAGTCAATTTTTTTTTTAATTATTTTATTTTATTTATTTATTTATTTTACCACCCATCAGCCCCAGTGTTGTTTTATTTTAAGAATTATTTTAGGGACCAACAGTTAGTGTAATGGCTATGTTGCTGGACTCCCATGTAGTCGACAGTGGTTCAAGTCCCGGATCCGGTGGCCTAAGCTCACGCCGGGCGCATGTGCATGCGTGCCTAAGATCCCAAGAGGAGAATGGAGGAGGAGGGATTGCAGTGTGGCCATCCCCCTTGGGAGTGATTTTTCACTTTCTGTCTCTCTGTCTCTCTGTCTTTGTGGTGAGTGCATGCGCTCTATAGCAAAAACCTCTCAAAAAAAAAAAAAGAATTATTTTATTCTGAAGGACACACTGATGGTGTAATGGTTACATTGTTGGACTCACACGTAATTGACCGCAGTTCAAGTCCTGAACCCAGTGGCTTAAACTCACGCCAGGCATGTGTCTACACGTGTGCCCAAAATCCTGAGAGGAGAATGGAGGAGAAAGGGACTGTGGCATGGCCACCCGCCGGGGGATGTTATCTTGCTTTCTGTCTCTCTGTCTTTGTATCTTCCAGCAAACACATGCTCCCAATAGCAAAAATTTCAAAAATTTCAAAAAAAAAAAAAAAAAAAGAATTATTGGGGCTGGCAGGTGGCCAGCAGGAGGTGTGGTGGTTAAGGGCACTGGATTCCCACGTGGCCAGCCATGGTTTGAGTCCCAGATGTGGTGGCTGCTTTCTCACTTTCTCTCTCTCTCTCTCGCTCTGTCCTCTTCTTGTCAAATATATATATGTGTATATGTGTGTATATATCTATCTCTGTCTGTCTGTCTGTCTGTCTCTCTCTCTATATATATATATATATACACACACTATATATATATACACACATACATACATATACATATATAAGTTTAAATAAAATAATTCTTTTTTTAATAAGGAATTATTTAACTTTGTTTATTTTTTCAATTTGACCAAAGAGGGACAGAGTGAGAGTGAGAAAAAGAGAGGGATAGTGAGAAAGTAAGTCACCAGCTCCAGGGCTTGAACCATGATCAGTCATGTGGGAGTCCAGCACCCTTAACCATTATGCCACCTGCTGGGCCCTTTTTTTTTTTTTTTTTTTTTTTTAAAAACCCCCCAGGCATGTGCAGAAATGTCTCTGGATGTTACCAAATTCCCCAGAGGTAAAAGGAGACAAAGTTGTTTCTAGTTAAGAACCACTGGTTAAAGTGTAGAGATGTATGTGTATACTTATCATGGTTTAATTAGTGTCAGCACATTTGCTTAAAGCAAGCAGATCCAGAAATGTATTTGTTCAACTTTATGTATGTATGTATGTTTTATTTATTTATTTTAATTTGACCAGAGAGAGAAAGAGGGAGTTTGGAAAGTTAAAAAAGCAAGCCACAGGAACCAGCAGTTAGCGTAATGGCTATGTTGCTGGACTCCCACGTAGTCGACCGCGGTTCACGTCCCGGACCCGGTGGCTTAAAACTCATGCCGGGCGCGTGTGCATGCATGCCCAAGATCCCGAGAGGAGAATGGAGCAGAGGGGATTGCGACGTGACCATCCCTTCTGGGGGGTGATTTCTCGCTTCTGTCTCTATGTCTCTCTCTGTCTGTCTGGCGAGAGCACGCGCCCTATAGCGAAAATCTCTCCAACAAAAAAAGAAAGAAGAAAAAAAAAAGCAAGCCGCCAGGTTTGGAACTCAAACCGTGGTTGGCCATGTGGGAGTCCAGTGCCCTCAACCACCTTGTTACCTGCCGGCCCCGAGAAATGTAGTTGTTAAAATAGACTAAATATACTGGCATCATGCCAGCAGGTTTATATGTAAGTGGGCTTTCAATGGGCCAGTGTATAAACTCTATCTTATACCGGGGGTGACATGCAGGTATAGTGTTCAGGTTAAAGCTGGGCAGTTGAATGAATCTCTTCATATTTACCTGCTGGGTATGTCATTGCCCTCTACCTTTGGTCCTAGAAATGAACTGATTCCCACCAGGTGTCTAGCAGGTAATAACCCCTGCTTTGTCTGAGAGATTGAGCAGTGGCTTATCATGAAATTCTTTTCTGCCTGGTCTTCTAGATCCAATTCTGCTACAGCAACTGCGCCGGACATATAAATATTTCAAAGATTATAGACAGGTGAGCAGGATCCCCAAGCCAGTCCCCAGCCCCCGACCCCCGGCCTTGGGCCCTTGTCTGAGTGCCCACATCTTCCTCGTCACGTTTGTCATGTCCCACAGATGATCATCGAGCCTACCAGCCCCTGCCTTCTCCCAGACCCTCTGCGGGAGCCGTACTACCAGCCACCCTACACTCTCGTCCTGGAGCTCACTGGCGTCCTTTTGCATCCTGAGTGGTCGGTGTGTCCTGGGGAAGGCAGCGGGCTGGGGTCGACCTGGACAGCTGGGTCCAAAAAACGTGGGGGTTTAACTCCACCTCCACTCTATGGCCTTAGGGAAGTAGGGAAGAGGTGTCACTTCTATTGCTTTGTCCTCCTCAATTGGGAAAAGGCAGTAATGACCCTCCCCACTCCTTAGGGTTGTTGTGGGTATACCTTCGCGCAGAGCTTGATACAGAGGAATCAGCTTCTTTTTTGAGTTTATCTGTCTCTTCCATGAGCAAGAGAGACAGAGAAACGATACTATCAGCAGGGTCCCACTGCCACCATCTACCCCCCAGCCTCAGCCACACCTGGACTCTGGGCACGCACATGCCTGGAGTACTTAGGAGGTCTCAGGACGTGAATCTAGAACTGTGGGGGTCAGCCCTGCAGAGCGTCAAGTTTTACTGCTTCACCACTGTCCAGCCTTCACTGGAGTCAGTTCCCATTCTGGAACCCTGTTCCTCTAAACCCCCAAGGAACCACAGAGAAAGGAAGAGGACTCTGTTTCTGGGGAACCCTCCAGTTGGGTCTCTGTCCTCTTGGGGTCTCTGAGGGCCTCTAGGTTGTGATGTTTCACTGTCTTCTCTATCTCACCAGTTGGCCACTGGCTGGAGGTTTAAGAAACGCCCAGGCATCGAGACCCTGTTCCAGCAGCTCGCCCCCTTGTATGAAATCGTCATCTTTACATCAGAGACCGGCATGGTGCGGTTGCGGGCAGGGCAGGGAGGATGGAGGTGTGGCAAGGTGGACCCGGAGGACAGGGCTCAGCCTGGCTTTTTCCTCTCCCACATCCCCAGACTGCATTCCCACTCATCGACAGCGTGGACCCCCACGGCTTCATCTCCTATCGCCTATTCCGGGACGCCACAAGATACATGGATGGGCACCATGTTAAGGTGCCGTGTGGGGGTCTGGGTCGCAGGGATTTGTGGGGACAGTGCTGCCTGAGGAAGAGAGGGCCAAGTTCTGACCCCAGCTGCAGCCCTGCTGTGGTCTGCACCAGTCTGATTTCTGCTGGCAGGACACAAGCCTACTTCCAGCCTGGCCTGAGCCTCTAGGCCCTTCTTTCCCT